CCTGTGCTTTGTTACTCATATAAAATCCAGTTTGAGGCAAGACTCAAAATGAGCTCTGTATAGAACAGAAATGCCTGCATGCAGATCAGTAGAGAAAAAACTGGACATGCCAGCCTGATCACAGTCTTTTTTTTTTTTTAATTTTATTTAAAAGGAAAAAGAGAAAAACACAAAACAAAACAAAGCGGTGTAAGGGTACACGTAATACAGAACTACAAAAAAAAAAAAAAAAAACCAGTAAGAAATCACCTGTTAATAGATTACATATTATCATCTTAGAAATAGTTGCTCAAATCACAGTATCAAAGATTACAAAGTGGACATTCAAACAGAGAGACTGCAAACAGCTGTGTTCAATGATCCAAAAACATTAATATAGTCAGCTATTTAACACCCCTAAACACACTTGCTGTTATATCCGTTAGAGCTCTTTTTTTTCCCCTCTCTTTTTCATAACAAAATTTACACATTTTGGATTTTATTACTCCTTAGTTCTTATTACTTTTTTGGGGGGAGAGAATAAAGTCAAATATGGCAAAACAAAGCTATCAGTCAAAACCAAGAATAGACATAGCTCATGATGTAAAACAGAGTACAAGGTTATCAACAATGGTTATCAACGATCTCTCTTGTTTCCTTAAAAAGAATTGTCTATCTCATTAGATATTATAAAGTTGGACAAAACAGTAGAGAACTAGACCAATAAAACTTAGGCATTGTAAACATTACAGGACTTCCAAAGGAGACAATAGTCAAACCAGAATGGGCATCTTAGTGAATCTTATTGCCTTCAAAGTAGTTGCCTATACCCTCAAACTTGATACTATCATACAGAATGGAACACAGTCTAATCAGTCAAAACAAGATCGTGGGAGTATTACAGGACTTCAAAACAAGTTAATAGGAAATCAAAAAGAGTTACTATTATATAAGTCTTTTTAATGTCATAAAATCTTAGAAAAGTATCCTCAAGTTTTTTGTGACCCTGTAAAGGGCCAAGTGGGACTACAGATAGAGGTAAACCAGAAGAGTCTGGTGCAAAGGATAAAGGACTTCCCGGGGCCTCAACAGACATGATGCACAGAGGTCGTGAATGGCATCTCAAATTTTCTCACTAGACATGATGAGGAGGAACATCTGTTCTGCTTTGGAACCAGCCTATTATTGTTATAGGCAGCTGAGCTGGTTAGAAACATTATCGGCAGTCAGACAGGGCAAGGCCTTCAAAGGAGCCGGCACAGAGGACCAGATTCTGGTCAACTTGGAGGAGACACATACCTCTTGCTGTGGGCCAGATCTTGGGACAAAAGGCAAAAAAAAAAAAAAAAAAAAAATTGTAACCACACTCTTAAGTATAACCTTTAGGGATTAAGTCTGGATCACTTTGAGAAGCCAGGAGTCACCATCCCAACCCCTATAGAAAGAGTCACTAACCTGTAAAGAATGCTTGCTTGCTATGTGACTCGCTTCCCCATTTGTCCCTGATTTGATCAATTTTACATGAACAATTAAACTTATCGGTTGACTATAGCTCTGTTCCACCTCACGCCCATCTAGCTTGAGAGTTCCCAGGTTTCTCCACTTTATTTTTTTATTTTTTTGTCTTTTTCATTTTTATCGGTACCGGGGATTGAACTCACGACCGCCTGCTTGCAAGGCAGGTGCTTATGCCGCTGAGCTAAACCCCCAGCCCCCGGTTTCTCCACTTTAGACCCGCATTACTTCATGGATTTACTCTATAAAAACCCCAAGAAAATACAGAATCTTTGGCAACCCACTCAGGACCTTTTCTGTCTCTGTCTCTCTCTCTCTCTCTCAAACAGAAGCTTTTTTTTCTCTCAATAAATATTTCTGCTCTTAACCTCTGCTGTTCCTTTTAAAATTCTTGCTTTGATTTTAGAGAACACGAACTTGTACCAGACATATAGTTCCCCTATGTCATTATGAACCAAAATCTCTAGAAATACTGAGCTGAAATACTGTAAGTTTTTCCTTTTTTAACTTGTGGGTTTTGGATATCTCATCTCAGCAATGAGAAAGTAACTAAGATATCAACTAACTGAAGATACCAAGAATTCCACAGAAGTGCCTGGGTGCCAAAGAAGGAACCACCAGGAACTGGCTCCTTCTGCCTGGAAGCTCAGAAGCCCACACATCACCCCTACTTTCTCAGGTTTAAATACAGTTCTGACTTTATCACACTTGTCTGGAAGTGACTCCATGAATGTTTCATCACCAGATGAAACCAGGGTCCAAAACCAAAACAATGCCGAAAATAAAATACCAGCAACAACGCCATACTAATATTGCGTTTATATTTTTTTTCTAGTGCTGCAGACTAAACTCAGAGAGCACTGGGATACACCCACGGTCCCTTTTATTTTGAGACAGGGTCTCACGGAGTTGCCCAGCCGGGCCTTCTGAAGCTATCAGAGATGACTGCTGACAGGTAAGGGAGGTGAGCTTCATGCTTAACTGTTCCTCTTCCCTCCCTTTACCTACAGCTAAGCTGTCAACTGAAGCGTGCCTTTCATGTCATTGCTGAGCTCTCCTTTGGATTCGTTCCCTCCTCTTTATTCCAGCTGTCATAGGCTCGGTCCAGCCCTCAACAGCTACATGGAAAGAACTGTCAAATCACAGAAAAAGGTTAGCCTTCCCTTGATCAAATTTACTGAAGTAAAACATTATTAATTTAAATGTTTCATTTCACATGATCCCTCTGGGAAATCCTCAAAGCCCCCACTGCCCGTAAGTTTTTCTTAGCCTCCAGGGAAATGTTGATCAGATCCATGCTAAATAGTTGAACATTATACTCTCATAGGGGATTCTGCTCCCCTCCACTAGGATTCTGTGGGATGTTGCGATGAATTAGCTACAGGTGCCCGCTCTTACTCTCACTAGGTACTTTCTGCTTCCCCTCAAGCTAACAGGAAAACACCACCCTATGTCACAGCCTAGAAATTAAATTTCAAAGAAAGTCATTCTTAGAACCTCATGGAAAAAACTTTCACCAGCTGTGAGCTACTGATACTTCAGGTAACAGACTGATTAGTGAGGCTTCCAAGACGATGTCTTTTTAGCAATTTCCAAATTGTCTTAGACTAAGCGAGGATTTCTGAGGTTGTTTTCAGTCCAGAGGCAGACGACCTTTTGAAACAAAACTGTTAGCCCAAGATTTAGTGGAATAGAAAAATGAGTCTGTAGGGTTGAAGGCACTGATGAGGAAATCAATTTTGGCTGTTTTGGAATGTTGTTGGTATCATCATTTTTTCATGTTCTCTTATGTGGTAGAATAATACTTTTTCCTTCTTCTGATATCACAATTGACTTAGTAGTTTATATTATTGCAAATATCTTGAAACATTTTAAATGACAATCATGTTCTCAATGAAATTTCAGAAGGTAGCAGCAAAACTTTTTGAATCTATGTTTAACAGCAAAGTGTTTATTTACATAGATTCGGGAAGAATGTGTTTGAACTTTTACCAATGAATAATTGCACCAATAAAAAATACAGTCGGGACCATTCCTAGAGTGTCATATTTGAGAGGCAGCCTCATTTAGTTAGGTATAAAGACTACCATTTAAAAACAAGGATTGTTTATCTGGAGAAGCAAAAAGCTCCCCAAATACCCACAGCAAGTAGAGAACATTTAACATGTGTGGATGGCGTGAAGGGAACTTTCCACCCTCATCTGTAGATAATAAAGGCAAAATAGCAGAGGTGATTTTCTTGATTTGTTCCCTAGCCTCAGAATATATTAAATAAAGGCAAGAAATTATAATAATAAAAGCTACTAAAACTTCCTAAGAAGACTTCAAAAAATTTCCAAACAGAAGTTAAACTTCTGGACTATAGTGTTATGTAACACTACATGGTCTTAGTATTTTTGACCAGAATACAGTAAAAGATTATATGCATTAACTAACCATTCTTACTGCAATAATATAAATGAGTCAGGACCAAATGCAATGTGACCAGCTTTTTTGAAAGTCAGAAACAATCTTTGGAGAGAATGTGTGACCAGAGTGCTTTATGATTTAAGCTGTCTTTCCACATACTGAGCTAAACTTCCCAAAGAGTCTACAGACACAACACTCCTTAAATTACCATAAACAAACTTAGATTTTGAAGTCTTCATCTTTTGCCCTGAAAAAGACCACACTGCCTATGATAATGCAAATGAGTATTCCCTCATTCCCTTTTCCCTCCTCCAGTACCAATGGCTGCTAGCTTCTGAAGACATGAGTATACACACTCACCCTCATGCACACATGTGTACAAATAAACCCACAATTGTTTCAGTGGAACAGCTTATCATGACTGAGAAAGCCCAGTTCCACAGAAGGCAATTCAAACATTCGCCTTGGGCTTCATTAGAAAAGATTTAGGATTGAGGCCAGTTGGGACAACATCCCTACCTCTCTCATGAAAACATCCAAAAAGGCCCAAGTTTTCCTGCTCTTTCAGCCTTGGAGGAGAAGGAGCAGCCCCTAGGGAGGTATTCTCTTTCATCTGTCTCCTGGCTTTGTGCTGTACTCCAAGCAGAATATATTAATAAAGTAATGCTTTAGGGGAGAATACTCTCTACTGTTGTGGCATCTCTGGATTTTAATATTTGGCCTTGAGAAGTTCAAAAGATCTGAGAGATTAGAGTTCAAGAAAGACCAATATATATCCCAGGACAGGGCCTCATCTTAGTTACTGAAAATCCTGCCCCTCCCATACCATAGCCAGTTTGACCTCCAAGAGACCATAGAGCATAACTCGGTCTAATAGAATTATTTGCAAAGACTCTCAGCTTTTCTTTTTTCTTCAATAGTAGCTGGAAGCAACTCAGATTAGAACCCACAAACAATCAAGTCAGCCCACTTCCCCAGCATGTGCCTGAATAGCTCTGTTGAATGCCAGGTTCCTGGCATCTGGGACAAAGTTTGACTCATCAGCCTGCCCTGACCATCACACCCCTTTCAGAAGTGTCCCCCAAATCCCCACTCACCATTCTTTTCTGTCTTGTGTTTTGGCGGCTCAGGTTCCGGAATGCAAGGACATGGCCCATCACAGAGAGTGGTGAGGCTTTTGCCAGTAGAGCAAGCATGGAACTCCAACTTGCACTGCAAGAAAATAACAGCCAGTAAGAACAGTCATCAAAGGCCTCTGCTTAGTGTCCCAGGAAAGAGCCAGTGCCTTTGCTCCATAGGTGCAAACATAGAAAAGAGAAAAGCCCACTGTAAGCAAAGGTCACAATTACAGAATAATAAATAAGAACTGGACTTTCATGTTTTTCTGAATGTGCAGGAGGACTTCCAAAACACTGCAGAAGCACCAGAAGGCTTACTGTAATGAATGGTAAACTCAACTGTTACTATTTATAAAATAAGATTATTAATATGAAATGTAATAACTTTGGAGTCCTTTATGGTCAATGACTATACCCACTGGTATTATACCCAAAGGCTCATTCTCCATGTGTCTTCCCACATAAAGGCAGCTCAGTGTGTAAAAGAGTCCTAACCAGGCTGGACATATGCTCTTCTTGAGGAAGAGGATGACAATCGTGTGTCTTCTATAAATGTTGGTGGCGCATCTCCGCTCTGCCTCTTCCCCTTGAGAGCAACATTGGGTGAATATTTCACACCCAGAACTATGTTTGCACCAGTCCTTTTCAGCTGGAGGATGCTTGTGGCTATGTGAATAGCCTCGGAAGTCCATCTGCTGTAACCTCCTGTTACTGTTCAACAGCAACAATGGTAATTTCAGGATCCTTCCTTCTATCTCTTTACTTTAAAGTCTAAATGGACTAAAAACAAAACAAAATAAAACAGGAGAGAAGGATGGTATTTACAAGTGAAATAGACCACACAAGTCACCAGGTTTTTTCCCCTATATTATGGAAGATGGAATTGAGATATGGAGGTTAAATTACTTGTGAAAGATTTTAACACTCATTCGAACCTATGTTTGGCTCCAAGGCTGAGCTCTCAATAGCCATTGCTCACTTTTTGTCATGTGGAAGGGTATCTGGAGCACAGACATCCCATACTACATTGTGTGTGCCTAATTATGCACTTTTGCTGTTGGTCTAAATATGCGTTCTCTGAAAGTTTACTCTCTTTGTGCCTGTAAAATTCTTAGGATCAAAGCTTGTGTGTAATCAATCCTCTGCAAAGGCCCCCAGGCCAGGACCATGTGGATACCTGATGGATGTTCAAAGCAAGAAGAGATAGGCAAAAGGTACTGAGCACCCACTCTACATGCAGCTCTTATCAGGTGCCATGGGGGAATCTTTTAAAAGAAAGAAGAGAGGAGATACAGTCCTTGCTCTTGGAAAACACAAATGCATACCTTTGAAAAAAGGTCAGTAGCATTTGCAAAGTAACACACATGAGTGCACATGAATACTGCCTCATTGTGTGAGGACAAGCTATTCAGTCCCCAAACTGATTACAAAGCAAGGCAAATAATTCTTTAAACCCAGTTTTCAATGTACTAGAGTCACACTGCATATTTCCAACTGTCACCCATCCAGTTTCTAGCTACCTTTGAAGGCAGAGAGTGACAGAGAAAGCCTGTGGATTCCTGACTTCCTCTTGATGAAAAGTCCTTTTTGTAGAACTGTGTGAAATACCTAGTATGTACCCAGGGAAACAGGAGGAGGGATTGTTGTAGTCAGGGCTTGCAAGGGAATGGATTTAGGACAGAACACATAATCTATAGTATTGTTTTATAATATTCACCCAAGAAGTCAAATTCAGAAGAGTGCAACAGATCTGTCCATGCCCTAGAGATCCAAAGAATCCAGCTGAGGCCTGGATCCCACAGCAATGTCCTCCATGAGTCCAACTGGAGACCTAGCACAAGTCATGCCCTATGCAAATCTGTATCAAGGATCTGCACTGGGAAGGCACAATGGTCAGTGCTAGAAGCTAGAAAGTCTGTGCCAGCAGAAAGAAGGATCTGTGCAGTAGACTGAAAGATCTGCACTGGAGCCAGGAAGTGATGCTCAAGGGAAGGACCAGAGCTCCCCTGAAAAGAACCATAGCCATCCTGACAGCAAGGACCTGAGCTCCTCCAACAATAACAGCTGAATTCATATCAGGAAAACCAGCATGACAAGCTTCTGCAGGAGAATCAACAGCACCATCTTCCCCTCCAATTCTCCTTTTAGGCTGTTGGCAGCAATCCTCAGGTGGGCCTTTCACACCCAGAACCATGCTGATTCAGTTTAGCTAGGTCTTACAAGCTGACCGTTGGTTAACCTACCACAGGGGCATATAAGAAGAAGCCATCACTAGGTTTCAAACATCAACTGACACAGTAATTAAGAAGGAAGGAAAGTGGACATGATGATGAGGTCAGGTGGGGTATATGAGTGGGTAGGCACAGAGCACAAAAGAGACTCGCAAAATGCAATGTGCCTGTGGACAACTCAAATGGGCTGACAGCCAGCTGGGAGGGATGTTAGAGGCAACAGGTGAGTAGGATACGACACTTGTTTTTAAATGACACAGAATCTGTTATCTGTAGATAATATTATCTGGAGTGGTCAACAGACAACTATGGCCATCTTCTGTTACCTCTTTTCCTGCTCCTCTTCCTCTGATTTAGTTTTCTGAAACTAGCCTCAGTTTCAGACCAGTAATCTTTAATCTGTTTTCTCAAAAGAACCTCTGAAGCTAATTTAGATAGCAAAAATATATGTTTATGTGTAAACTTATCTTCTAAAGTTAAAAAATACTACACTTATGTATAATACTGCTTTATCTTACTGTTCCTGAAATTGCCTGCTTATATCTGTGACAGACTGTAATATTTTTCCACAGTAATCTCTGCCCTCCCTGAAGCTTCCTGCAGCTTCCCATTCTGCATCCTGTCATGCAGCACCTGCCTGTAGAAGCTCGGTTCCCCTCCCTGGTGGTACCAACCTGTCCATAGGCCTTGCTTCAATGGATGAGTTCTCAGTAGGTATGATGAAGCCAAATTTGAAAACAAATGCTTGGCTGTATCACCTCACTTATTCCTTTCCCCTCCCATGAAAATAACATGGGACTGAAGTGAGCTGCTTCTGGTGCCTGGGACCCAGGAGGCTGAGGATATGGAACAGAGCTGAAGCCATCCCACAGCTACTCAGCACAAATAAGGAAGGAACTCACTATTGTAAGCTGCTACTGTTTGGTGATCATGTAGTACTACAGCATGACTGAGCAAAAGCTGATGAACCAAATTGCTACATTCCTACTAGACATGAAGTACCTTACAACAGAAAAAAGTCTTAGTCACTATCTCACCTTTGACATGATTCGACACAGATAGCCCTAGAAACTTGTGTGTTTAATACAATGCTGTTAAATGATAAAGACTGGAGGGATCGTGGTACTGATCATTTCGCTGCTCCACACCTCTGTTCTGCACAACAGGAGCTTCCCAGCCAGGTTCAGGAATGCAGGTGCTGGAGTGCTGCTTTTGAGCTGTCTACCTGCCCCATCCTTCACTCGCATCCACTGAGCTTCTGATGATAGCTGCACACTCAGGTTCTGCCTTTCTCCCTCCCTGTCTGGCCCACATGCTTCTAGAGTCAGAAACTAGTCTACTTGCCTCCCAGAAGCCCAGACACTTATTCTCTGGGTGTCTCTGTGTTAACTGGAAGCCTGAGGCAGGAGGTCCTGAACCACAGCTTCCTTGACTGGGCTGCAGCATCCTTTCCACTGCAGAGCCACTGGCACCAATGTTTGCAGATAGCCCAGCCCTGACTCCAGATAGGTGCCACCAGAGGAAACAGCACTTATCTATGCCAGAGAAATCCAAGTTTCAAGGGTATATATCTATAGGTCATCTTGCAGGATAATATGTAACATATAAATAAGCTAAAAAAACCCTATAATTCCATGTTTTTATGAAACTCAAAACAAGCTACTTAGAGATACTTACATAGGTGGTAAAAATTTATTGAAAGGGGGATGACCAGTACTATCAAGATAGGGGTCACCTCCCCAGGGGAGGCAGTAGAAAGAGGCTGACAGGAGCCCACAGGAAGCACTGGCAAAGAAGTAATGTTTATTTTTACAAAGTGTGTGTGGAATGCAGAGGTTTTTGCTTTGTTACCAGATTTGACAACCCCTATAAATAATTCATATATTTTATGCATTAAATACTTCATGATAAAATATATGAACATGGTAACTCAGCTAGGGTCACATGCTACTGGAAACCTCATCAGGACAAGTGAGTGACACTGCATGTGTGACAGGTTCCCTGGAACCGTTAAGAGTATGAGACTTTGAATTCAAGCCCTGTATCATTCCTGGGCAGAGGTGTCCCCAGGTCCTCCACTTAGGGTATGTCACTAGTGATACCTTCTTATAGATTTTCTTTAATTTTTATCCTTGCATTTCCTTTCCTATTTGTCTAATATTTTTTATTCTTTCCCAGGTTTTTGCAGAGGGGACAGATACAGAAGCCAAAAGGTGATCACCATTTGTTATGGGTTATATCTAGATATGCCCCCAAGCTACATATCCTTAAAGGTGAGACTCACAGAAGGTGAATGGATTATGAGGACATCATGGCTGGCTTGCTGTTGAGAGGTGGGATCTGCTTGGAGGTGGTAGGTCACTATGTGTATCTTTTTACTGCCCCTTCTTTGTTTCTGTCTACTGTGCAGAAGCCATGAGGTATGAAGCTTTCTTCTGCTTAAGCATTCCCACCATGATGTTTTGCCTGGCAGCCAGCTGGCTACATACCAAAACTTCAACAAACTGAGAGCCAAAATAAATCTTTCCTCCTTTAAATTGTGGGTGTTCAGTGTTGTGTCTCAGCAATGAGAAAGAGATTAAGAAAGATTTTGGTGCCAGAGAAATGGCATCATTGCTGTAACTCTGGCTATGTCATTCAAAAGCCTTTGGAACTAGATTGCAGAATTTAGAAAGGTTTGGAGACATTGGATGGAAGAGCAGCTTTAAAATGGTGTGAACTGAAATCATTGGGAGATTCTTTTTTTTTTTTTTTTTTTTTTTTTTTTTTTGGAGATTCTTGTCAAAACTCGGAAGACCAAAATGCTGTTGGAAACATACATGATAAAGACAAGGTTCATAGGGTTTTGGTTGAAGGATTCAAT